CCCCAAAACCCCAAAACCCCAAAACCCCAAAACCCCAAAACCCCTAATAACTACTCAGAAGTTGGGTCTTTATATAATTAATTATAATTTTGTTAAAATGGAAGACACCAAACAAAATGACGAGTTAACCAACATAAGTGGTGACAAAGAAGCTCCGAAGAATGATGAACCCCTACCGAAAGCAAGCATATCGGAGATCTATAAGTACCTAAGTGGACCTTATAAAATGCTGTTCTTTATTGGGTCTGTATCTGCGTTTTTTGGAGGTAAGTCGATTTAGTGTCAATTGAGAGAATTGTTATCTAACCTTTAATCTATTTAATTCCTTCTATACTCATCCAATGAAACCTTTATTCACTAATACTAAAGGGGCATAAGCCCTTGCTCCCTTCTAGTGCGTATTGCATGGTTGGTTGGCCATCAAAACTAATAAGTGTGTCTTAACAGGCCCTTAATCTATAACAAAAGTGGTGTATTTTATGAATCATGATTCAAAATGCTTCATTAATAATGAAGGATATTCCTATCTCTTCGGATATATGAATGCACTTTTAGTTCCCTTGCTAGAAGACTGCATTCGCTGTTTTCTATATTGAAGCCTAGAATCGTAATAACTATCTTGTATAGGATTTAATTTCCCACTTTGCACCTACATCGTTCAGAGAATATTCGACCGAATGGGAGGAGGCGATCTCGACTACGTTCACGGTAAGCTATACTTCTGATATTCTAACGCTCTTTTCTATCTACTGTGCTAATAAGTTGTATAGGTAAAATGGTGGACAACTCCTGGTTCTTTACAGCCATTGCGGTCATGTCCTTCTTTGCAAATTTCACTCATTACGTATGCTTTACTATGGTCGGACAAAAGCTAGGCTTTGAATTAAAGTAAAATATCCAATTAATGGTTTTAGATGGAGATATCTACGAGCTATTCTTAGACAAGACACTAATTGGTTTGAAAGTCAAAATATTGAGGGTATTCCATCTACTTTCCATAAAAACATGAAAGAAATCGAAACTGGACTTGGCAGATGTGTAGGATTTATCATATATGCTATTGGATCATATTTATGTGGAATAGGAATCACTTTTGCAATAGGATGGATTTACTTGTTCTGTCTCTTTGGAGTTGTTGCTTATTCAACAGTACTGTTCAATTATGTTGAAGCTACTCTTCACAGTGTTCAAAACCTCATCGATAGTACTTTCGTTCAAGGAGGTATCCAGGCAGAAGAGACTTTTAACTCTATTAAAGTTATCAAAGCCTTTAGACAAGAAAAGAACTGTTCAGATCAGTTCCTCAGTCACTTAGAAAGCAACAATAGTGAAGTATTAGGCAAATCTTGGAGCTATGGAGCAGCATTTGCTCTGCTAGAGACAATAGCATACCATTTCACTTGATATGCATTCGTAATTGGAGGTTTCTTTGTTTCAGAAGATGTAAGGTTTCCATTTTTCTAACTTTTAGGTTCACAATTCATTCCCAGATGAACCATATACTGGAGGTGATATATTTTCATGCATTAGCTTTTTGTGTGGAAATTACTTCTTTTGCAATTCACTGAGAAACATGTTCTTCTTCGGTAAAGGAAGAGAGGCAGCATATCCAATATTACAATTGATAGATAAAGTCCCAGAAATTTCCTTAGATGATGATACTACTTCTGATATTAACGAGTTGTCTGGTGACATTCAGCTGAACAATATCGTATTCAAGTACCCTGGCACCACTAAAAATGCTTTGGATAGAATTTCAATCCACATCAAAAAAGGCCAAACACTTGGAATTATTGGGCCAACTGGATCAGGAAAATCAACAATTGCTAAGCTTTTAGAAAGATTTTATGATCCAACTGAAGGTGAAGTTCTGATCGATGGACAAAATCTCAAGTCGATTAATTTGAGAAAGTATAGACATTTAATTGGGTATGTTGGCCAAGAACCTTGTCTTTTCAATGAAACTATTAGAGAGAATCTTCAGAACTCTTACCCAGGTGCAACTGAGGAAGACATCATCAATGCTCTTAAGAAAGCTCATGCATGGAACTTTGTTAAACATCTTGAAGATGGTATTGACCACAATGTTGGAGCTGTCGGAAGTAAGCTGTCAGGAGGACAGAAGCAAAGAATAGCAATTGCTAGAGCACTAGTCAGAAATCCTCAACTTCTAATTTTTGATGAAGCAACAAGTGCTCTTGATTTTGAGAGTGAGAGGAAAGTGCAAGAAGCAATCGACTCGATTGAAGGAGACTCCATCACAAAAGTTGTGATTGCTCATAGACTCACAACTGTAAAGGATGCAGAAAATATCATTGTCCTTGAAGATGGAAAGATTGCTGAACAAGGAGATCATGAAGATCTTATGAGAATTAATGGAATCTATGCTGAAATGATCGGTATTCAGCTAGAAGCAAATAGGACTGAAGAAGCTCTGAATCTCAATGAAAAACATAAAGATATTGTATCAAGCAGCGATGGGAATGATAATGAACAGTTTGAAAGGACAGAGTCAGATGAAGTAGCTTTGCTTAGTTCTCATATGAGGTCGAGGAGACAGTATGTGGATCAGGATGAGTCACAGACTTCTGAAGGATTATTCTCGTTTTTAGGGCATGTCTATGTATATGCAGCACCGAAATGGTACATACCGTTGATATGTATTTCAGCTACCCTTGTTGCAGTGACTTTGATAGTAATGCCTTATCCCTTAGGAAAATTCCTGTTCACAGCCTTAGGAACCACTAGTACTGGAGCTGATGTCAAGCAGGACATGGCAATCTACCTTCCAATTATTTTTGGAATGGGGATACTTGCTGCAATTTTCCAATTTTGTACAAGATCATTGTTGCATATAGTCAACACAAATTTACTTCAAGGAGCACGGAAGTTTGTCTATAATCATGTCTTAAGACAGCCTATTGAGTTCTTTGATCATAAGAACCATAATACTGGAAATTTAACCGCCATTCTTTCTTCAAGTACAAGAGAATTAAACGGAGCTGCTGTTGAGTTGTACTTATTCATTTTCCAATCGATGGCCAGTATGGTCGGTGGAATGATCTTTGCTTTTATCTTTGAATGGAATATGGGAATATTATTCTTATTCATTATTCCAGTCTCATGGATCTCTATGGGTGCAACCTTTGCGTTGCAATCTAGCTCTCAAAGTAGTTATGAAGAGACTATCAGTAAGCAAGAAAAGATGATATCAGATTACATCATGAACTACCATACAGTTTTATCTCTTGCAAATGAAGATACTATTATCTCTCGGTACTTTAGCCGTGATAACTCTCAAGAAATTGAATATAAAGCTAACAAAGCTGATTTATTCGAAGCTTTAGGCCCTGGATTTGTGTATGGATTTGGAACTTCATTCTTCATCCTCTCATTTACTTTTGTTGGATTAGTATCTGCTCATAACGTTAAGCATGGTCATGAGGGAGAAGACCAATTAAGATGCACTCTGTGATTCTGGTATGCATTCTTGACAGTATCATACCTGATGAGCAATCCTCCAGATTTCGGAAAGAGTCTTCAAGCCGTGAAAAAGATATTTGGACTTAACAGATATGCTGAAGAAGGAGAGCCTGACTGTCCTATTAAGAATGGAGACGCTGACTTAGGGTCTGAAGGAGTCTCCGGAGCTATTGAGTTCCATCATGTTTATTTCAGATACCCGAGCGCTCGGACGGACAAATGGGTCTTACAAGACTTCAATCTCAAGATCAACGAGGGAGAAAGTATTGGGCTTGTCGGAGAATCTGGATGTGGAAAGAGCACAATTGCAGCTCTACTTTTCAGATTTTATGAGCCACAATCTGGACATATCACCATTGGAGGGAGAAAACTAGATGAGTTCACTTTATCCTCTGTCAGAGCTCACTTCGGATATGTTCAGCAAGAGCCAATTCTGTTCAATACAACAATTATGGAAAATATCTGATTTGGCAAACCCCATGCTACTTGTGATGAGATTAAGCTTGCAGCAAAAGTTGCCAACTGAGAGGAATTTATTAGAAAGAAAGATTTTGAGGGTCAAGATACCTCAGAAAATGACCTAACTGATGAATTTACCAATGATACCAGATATAGCGAACTTGATGATGGATACAGAGCAGTTTGCGGTTCCAAAGGTGACAGACTTTCAGGAGGTCAGAAACAAAGAATTGCTATCGCTCGTGCTGTTATCGATGATCCAAAATTCCTGATTCTTGACGAAGCAACCTCAGCTCTAGATGAAAGCGCCCAGAAAGTAGTTCAAGAATCCTTAGATGAAATCATGACTCAGAGAACTTCTATAGTAATTGCCCATCGCAGAAGTACTCTTTCTAAATGCAAGAGAATCGTCACTATAGAAAATGGCATTATTGTCAGGGATGTCTACACAAACCAATAATAAATTAATTATTCAAGGTCTTAGAGCTTTATTGGGGTTTTGGGGTTTTGGGGTTTTGGGGTTTTGGGGTTTTGGGG